AAGCTTGTTTAGTTTAATTTTTGGGTTTCTATCACGCCCATTTGTTTAGGAAGATTAATAATTGAATACTTGATTGGTTAAACTAGTTGTTGGTTTGATTAGTTCAATTAAAAGTAGGTTTATTTAAGTTAGTAACCATTTATTTAAATATCAGCATGTTTAGTTTAGGTTTTGATGATTAGCAAAATCGTTGGAAGATTAGTTGTTGGCTGAATTTGAAGTTTAGATAGTTTGTTGATGTTTTTCAATTGCACATTTGTCTAATTGACTGATTGTAATTAGTCGTTGCTTCATGCTTAATTTGTGCTCGATAGTTTAGTTGTTTAATTTAGCTTAATTAGTTGTTGTTTGACTCCCTTAAATAAAAAGGGACAGTAGATCTGGGATAGAAGCACTAATTGGTATTAACTTAAACTTAAGGGGCATTGAAAATAGGGCATCTTGTTCAATTTTTTGTTTTTTGGAAAGTTTCTAGAAGGGACTAAAGTGCAATAGAAAACCAGAAATTAGATTAGATTTTGGGTAAAAAGGGTGAATTTTCAGAAGTTAAAAAAAGTGAAAATGAGAAGAAACTTCTAGAAAGGGACAGTTGTCCAAATCTGTTAGAAAAGATGTTGAAATTAGATACAGCTGTCCATTTTCTGGTACAAAAGATGTCATTTTCCTGAATTTAAGGAACGGCAAAGGGCCAAATATACCCCTGTACTTTCGAAAAATGGTCTAAGAATACCCCTCGTTATACTATTGGGTTATCTATACCCCTGCAGTCATACTTTGGATTCAAATATACCCCATATTTAAACGGAGGGACACGTATCATCATCCTGTTGGTCACTTCTAAATATCTCCTAATTAATTAAAAAGTAATTTTCTAAAGTAATTTTTTTTGTAAAAACTGGAAAAAAATTAATTGTTTTTTTACTAAAAACTGAAAAAACGAAAATATTTTTTTTTTCCAGTTTTTACAAAAAAAATGCTTTAAAAAAACTGAAAAACATTTTCTAAAATAATGTTTTTGTAAAAACTGGAAAACAAAATCTAAAAAGTAATATTTTTGTAAACACTAGAAAAAATTGAATATTTTTTTACTAAAAACTGAAAAAAATCGAAAATATGTTTTTCCAGTTTTTAGAAAAATATTTCTTTAAAAAAATTGAAAATAATTTTTAAAGCTATTCTTTTTGTAAAAACTAAAAACAAAAAACTAAAAAGCAATTTTCTAAAGCAATATTTTTGTAAAAACTGAAAAAACAAACATTTTCTTTTTTTCAGTTTTTAGTTTAAAAAATTTCAGGTTTTTTCAGTTTTAATTTGTTTAGAAAATTATTTTTTTTCTAGTTTTTACAAAAATATTATTTTAGAAAATATTTTTCAGTTTTTGTAAAGCAGTTTTTTGTAAAAACTGGAAAAACAATATTTTCGTTTTTTTCAGTTTTTAGTAAAAAAAAAAAATCAGTTTTTTCTAGTCTTTACAACAAAAAAAAAAAAATTACTTTAGAAAATTTCTTTTTAATTAATTAGGAGATATTTAGAAGTGGTCAACAGGATGATGACACGTGTCCCTCCATTTAAATGAGGGGTATATTTGAACCCAAAGTATGACTGCAGGGATATAGATAACTCAATATTATAACAAGGAGTATTCTTAGACCATTTTCGAAAGTACAGGGGTATATTTGGACCTTTACCGTTTAAGAAAAGGCTGGCAGATTCTTTTATACCTGATTTTCATTCCCTCATAAGGCTCTCACATATTCTATATAAGGGGAGGGAGCAGATTTTACACTGGACACACACGAAAATACATTCTGAAAATTGGCACTCTTTTCTTCATTTTAGAGACCGTTTTAGAAAAAAATTGACTGCATTTTTTTTTTAGAAATTCCATTCCTTTCCTCTTCAATTTTGAGTAGAAAAACTTTCTGGAATTCGATCCTTAGAGTTTTAGAGAAAACATATATATATATATATATATATATATAATGCTCCCTTTTTCATCTTTTCTGGGATCTGAAGTTGGTTTTCTTGGCTTCGTTTGCTGCTGGTTCTTTATTCTTGTTGGTTTTTTGCTCCTGAGTTTGTTCCTGTTGCTGCCTTTTTTTTTTATTTTCAATTTCGGAGACTTATTTTCTATTTATTTTGGTTCTGCTGTAAACAGGTATGTGCTACACAACTGCAGTACCTATTTAAGTATATGAACAAAATTTGAGTGTCAATAAATGTGTTAGAAGCTTTCTATGTATGCTAATTGCTTGCTTCAACTACACGACTGCACTAAGTTCTTCTTTGATTTAGTTTTCCTATTCAATATTAAATGTGTAGCTTAAACAAGAATTGGTCTTACTTAGTTTCATATTGATTAGAAGTGATTCCCTGCAGATGTACATGTCAAAATTGCTCAAATGCTTTCTGGTTTTGTCATATGAAATACTTGTCAAACATGTATTAATCTAAGGTTGTCTTTGGTTTGAGGTCTCAAAGGGTTCAAGTTGGGAATGGACTGTTGAGATTTGGTGGTTGTGATAAAGCTGAGTTTTGGTTTATGAGTTACCCTGTTTAGTGGTCTGTAATGCTTTATGGCCTATTTAATCCTTCATACTCTCATGAATATCCAGCTTTAATGTCTCCTGTAAGGTAATTATTTTGGACAAAACTGATTCGAATGCAGTCTGCACATAGATATATTGATGTTTAAGTTTGAAATGAAGATTCACCTTCAGTTAGTTCAATTCTCTTAGAATAGCAAACTTTGTAATTTGTTCTTTAAAACAGTTATTCTTTCCCCATTTATCCTATTGTTATATGATTTGTTGCAAGGCATCTATCAGATGAAGCATGAATAGTCTATCAATTGATTACATGTGATTTGAATATGAGAATATTTGTTTATATGGTATTCGATTGGGCTCCAAATGAGCCTGCTTAGCAAACAGCTGAATATTCTCTCATTTTGGGCCCATGTCTGCTCATGAGCGAGATATCTAATCCCAAGTTTCTACCCTAATAGTCTAAAAATCACGCACAATAATCACATGTCCATAACTTATAGATTTTTAATCTCGAATAAAGTATAGGAGAGTAAACAACCTATGAACGTTTGTAGAAATGCTTTTAGGCACTATTTAATCAAATTATCGTGATTATGTACACGTTCGCGTGACACGATTACGATTGTTAAACTGAATACTGGTAGAAATGCTTTTAGGCGCGGCTTAGCTTATTATCGCGATTATGTATACGTTCGCGTGACATAATCACGATTTCTTAAATTAAATCGAGGTATCCGTTCGTGCAACTTCGGCCGAACAATCTTAAATTAATAAAGCGTGACTAATTGTGCACACGTTCGTGTGACATAATTTTTAGCGCGTTGTATAAAGCGGATTTATACACATATGATCTGTTTTCAAAGATAATTCCATAACGCCATAATTAAAAGCGGTAAAGGGTAAAATGCACATAGGTCATAAAATTAAGTAATTAAACAAATTGATTAAGCCAGGTATGATTAAAGCGACCGTGTTAAAATCACGGAACTAGGGAGTGCCTCACACCTTCTCTCGGGTTAACAAAATTTCTTACCCGGTCTTCTGTGTTCGCGGACCATAAATAGAGTCAATTTCCTCGATTTGGGATTTAAAATAAACCGGTGACTTGGGACATCATATATATTCTAAGTTGCGACTCTGAATTAAATAAATAATCTCATTTCGATTAATGTCACTTAAATTGGAAAAACTCCCCTATCCCCCTCGGAAAAAAGGAGGTGTGACAATAAATATTTACTGTAATTATATTATTTTATAAAATATTAACAATTAAATATCTATGGAGCTTATGCCTCGCTGAAGCATATGTAAAACGCATCGCCTTATACCCACGCCTTTTAAAACACTGTTTGCACCACGATGAATTGCTGAATGGAATGCCTTCCAATAAATATCCAAATTCTAAGCAAACTACAAGTGAGGCCTAACATTAACAACATTTAAATATCTGCACTAAACTAAGCTGGTTCTGTTGAAATGATCCAATAATTAAGAGGTTACAAATCAAATTATAGTGTTACAAATTCAATTCTCTTACTTACTAGTCATAATCTAGTTTACTCTTTCCTCTTCCTATTAGCTCTCTACGAAAATAAAATAAAACTAAGTCTACTTGGGGACACATGTCACAAATTTGAAGTCTAAGATTCTGAGTTCAATCAATCAAGCATGCCCCCTCTTCCAATCAAATATTTGACTTCGGCACTGTAATAGTATAATGTAGAAATAAAGATGTAGCCACAAAATTAGAAGAATGCTTCCCTACCATATTCAACTTTTCCTGAAAATTAGTTCAACATCTCAGAAATTTCAGAAGGGTTTTTGAAGATCCAATAAATAAGGATCTCCACTTATAGAGATCCATTAAATAAGCTTCATCTCCACATTAAGGATCCAATAAATTCACGCCCTAGTGACTAGGATCATGCAGGACCTAAATAACTTATATAGATTTTTTCCTATAAACTATTTCGTCAATATATTATTTTAGACCTAAAGCTTGATAAATGGACGTAAGGAGGCCTAAAACAATTCGTAGGAATCCACTAGACAGCCTTTAAAATAAGGTGCTAGTGGAAACTAGAAAAGGATGAATTTCCTAGTAGGATCATCCACACTTTTTGACTGATGGCCGGTCGGTGACCTCAGCCGGGTTTTGTCTTCAACCAAAAACGAGGTTCTTCACCGGTTTTTCCGGCTACATTTATACACAATAATATGTTACTATAAATAACATAATAGAAATACAATGTAAGTAGCGGATATGGTTTCTCTTAAAATTGATGTACAAATTGAATTGATTAAGTTTCTATTTATCAAAGAAAAGAAAAGAAATTTCAGGTCTCTTAAGGACATTACTTGGAAGCTACTTGTTTGGTTGTAAACCAAAGTGTAGTATTATTTTAAGAAAATAAAGCTACGTCAGGTATAGAGTAGTATAACACTCCAACGTGCACAATACAAACATCATTTTCAATATAGAAGAGCCGAATCAGATAAATCGAATAATGTACAGCTAAGATCCTTCCCATCCCTCGCCTAATATTAACAAAATTGAAGGAATGATTTTTCTACTTCAAAACATTACTACTACTACTACTAATACATTTCCAAACAAACAACAGAATAATACAAGACAATGTTTGGTACGCTATTACAAGTTCCCACAGACAAACCGTCAACGCGCTTTCCCATTTCAATATTAAGACATATTTCGACCCCGCCTTTATTGAAAAGCCATGCCTTGCCATGCTGATTCCCCCCTCCCATTCACAGCATTAAAAAAACAATATGAAAGTTGTTCCCTCCAGTTCAGTCCTTAATGTTGTGGGTCCATTGCTAACCAATCTGATGCTCCTAAATTCACCATCTACGGTTCATTTGCATCTCTTAGTCAACATAGGTAAACTTGACACTGAACAACAGTTTTACCAATCTTGAACCCTGGAACCACCGTGAAACCTACAGTCGGTTCAGTTTCAGGTGATCCGTCCCATGACAAGAATGCCTCTTCGTTCACACTCTCCATGTAAACATCCGAAAACCGACACCCTCTGCTAACTTGAAAGACTGCAGCTACGGGATCGAAGGAGAAAGCCAGACAGTGTAGCAACCAAATGCGCTTGGCCATTTCACTAAATGTCGAGAAGAATGTTGACTCCGGATACTCAGCCGAATTGAGTATGTTTCTTTGATTCACGTTGCCAAAAATGGACTCTTCAATCTTGGGGTGGATTAGTTTCAAGTACTTAGCACGACAGAATCTTGCAAATGTTGATTTGGGTTTCCAAGCTAAGTAATCTGCTGGTTTAACAGATCTTAGCTCCATGAATCTGTCGAAAAACAACCTTGGCCTCTTCTTTTGCTCGGGCAGGGGCTCAGTTGAGATTGAAAAGTTAGGATAATTGAAACCATCAAACATCTCCCGGCAAACGAATGATTCAAAAGCATAACATATGTCATTTGCTTTCAGGAACTCTATATCGGGTTCGATGGAACTGGCCGCAGCATCTAAGTTCCACCCAGCAGCTAACATCTCCTTGCTGAGCAACCTAACAAAACTTCGAATCGACCTAATTGTCTGCCGGAGGAACATGATAAAATGGCTAGGGCTCAAGCTTGAAAAGTGAAGATTGTCCAGAGCAGACACCGGTCCACTGGAGTTCAACCTTTTCTCAAGCAGCTTGTTTTCTTTATTAGCCTCGATCAATGTCTCTCTGAGAAACATAATTTCTGATTCCTTGAGTTTGAGCTGTGAATCCAACTTCTTTCCCATGATATCATACGTCTTTAAAACGCTTTTCTGCTCCTGAATTTCAGCCAAAATCTGAGTGGTTTCTGGGGAATACTCATCCAACTGCTTCTTCACAAAGCACTGTTTCAATTCAGACAAGTTTTTCAGCTCGGATACCACCAACTCATCAGCACATTGAATCCCATCAGGGTTATACGGAGACTGAGCAAACTGCAATTGGGCATATGCCGCTTTAACAGCTGAGATGTTTGCAAACAGCTTGGCAAGAAAAGCTTCTGTAGCTGCTTTCTGTCTCAGCTTTTCATCTTCATCATCAAAGGATTTGAACTGTGCTTTCTTGAGTAGCTCGCTCTTCGCTACATCATTCTTTACTGCATCATCCTTGACATTTTCAGTGAATTTGTGCTTCTGAGTTCCTCCTGTCAGAGCTCTAATGTGCAGGACCTTAGCAAAAGTGCGAGCCAATTTGCTCTTACTCGGGGTCACAGCAGACCGATTTACAGAATCCATCTGAAGCAAAAATGAGGATATGAAGATGATATTAGATCATAATAGGTGGGAGCAATATATTTTGATCATTTCAGCCAATGCCAATAATAGTGTCATTTAAAGAAAGAAAGGAACATAATGATGGTCATAACGACTATCCACCAAATGATTTAGAGTGTTACAGCTAAAGAAAAAAGCAACATACTTTAACTGTTGAATCGAGGGAGCTAAAGGCAATTGGAATTTCTTTTTGTTCTCTACTTGAGTACTGCCCTCTGGTCTCTCTTTAGAAAGTTTCAAAAAGTATAGTTAATTGGAAGAAAAAGAAGGGATGAACAGAGAATAAGAGGAAAAAAGTAAAAAGTTGAAAGAATATCTCAAATCACACGACACGATCAAAAGGCACATCTACATTACAAGTTCATGAATGCTTTTCATATAGTATAAAAGATATACTAGATAGCAGCTTCTTGGCATGGGATAAATTGATTAGCTGGGAGAATAAAATACTTCAGTGCAATATATATTAATATAATTGAAGGGGCAAGGTTCGACCCAAATTATTATGTCACCAGCCTCTGCCTAACTTTAAGTATATTATTAATTCCATTATCAATGGCCCTTCTCGCCAATTTCCCACAGCCAAATACATGCCCCCGGCACAACCCACATCAGTGCAAATAACAAAAACAAATTAGGAAGAATGAATATGCTACCAACTACAGAATTATCAGTGTAAATTAACACCCCGCCTAATAAACAATACGAAGTGCAACGGGATTCCAATAAATTCTAACACTCCTGAAGTAATGAGCTGTAAATAATACTTAGCAATCAATAATGATAAATTTCCAGTTTTCCCATCAATTGAATACTCTTAAAAAAGTAAATCTTTTGACCTTATCAATTGAAAACAACTTCGTTAATAAATAATTCATATTAAGATCCTTATGGGACGGCAAAGATTACCGACCTCATTAGGATTAGCCAGGGCCCACAAACCTAAGAAATTATCCCAAAAACTTTTACTCCGCCCAAAATCTTGGGGATGGAGGAAAGAAAAAGAAATATGGATAATGACCTCCCCCCTCCCCCTCCCCCTCCCCCACATGCAACAATTAGACCTCCATTCACGCAAGACTTTGAGGTCACACTATTCACACCAAATTAAATCAGGAAACATGCATTTCCTATTACATAACACAGTTGCACAGAGTTTTGACGAATTATTTCTACACTTGAATGTTCTTTGACCAACACCTACCAAAAAATTAATCGGAGTACAGGACTCAAGCCTACGTTTGTGTGCTAAATTAATATTAATAATGTAGAGAAAAGTAGCGAGTGCCCTTCCAAAAATTTGAAACTTTAGACGTGTCACCACGCATGAACAGGCAGGGGCCATGTAGCATATCCCAGTTATAGACTCATAATTCATCACACGTCACTAACTATTCTGCAAAAAGTCACGTGGATCCTTCATTATTGCACTGTGGTAAAAAAGACTTATCGTATCCAACGGTGTACAAAAATGCCCGTTGAACTTATTTCACTCTTCTCGATAGTTGAGCTCACTATAATCCAACGGACAAAACTACTATTCCCCAGAAAATGTTTCCTCAGAGTACAAGTCACGTGACCCTATTTCAGTTGCTAATACAAAATCCACTACCAATGGTATGTCTGGCCTTCTTTTATGCCAAAAGTGCTTCTTCTTTTTTTTTTTTTAAGCCAAGAATGTTTTTATTAATTTTTCAAAGTTACATGTTTTGCAAAGGTTTATAGTTTGTTTGACAAGCTTTACAAATTGAAGAGTGTTTAAGTATTTCTGGTGAAAAATACTTTTTTCTCCTTCAACACAAAAGGACTACTACTTCAGTTTCTCGAACTGATGTAAAATAGAAACTGATGTAAAATGAAGGACATATTTTTAGTATGGTTATAAATTATTGTATAAAGATAAATTATTTTCAAATATGAAAATTGGTCATTATTTTTGGCACGGACTAAAAAGGAAATAAATTCATGTAAATTGAAACGAAGGAGTATTTTTTTCATTTTACAAATTTGGCCAAATAATTCAATTTCAAAAAAAAACCAGCTTTTAATAGGGAAAAAGTACTTTTGTATAAGATATATTTTTTAAAAGCTTAGTTATATACTCATGGGCTTTTTCAAATAAAATAATCAAACACAAATCACAATTCTCCCCCAAAAATACTTTTTTAAAAGTATTTTGAGGAGAGCCATTCTAAAAATAAGCTGATCTTAAAAAACTTGGCCAAACCATGCTAAGCTTCACATGATAAAGTAAGCTAATGTGAGTCACAGGGTTAGCTACTGTGAGGGCGCACACAGTGAACCAAACTCAACTGAAGACCGAGACGTGCTCCTGCATTACAAGGATTACAAATTACTACGATTCTCTACATGCGCGTGCAGAAGAAAAAATCTAGACTAGACCTAATCGATCACCTTTGATTTACCTATAATCTATTACAGTAAAATCTATGAGAAATTTAACATTACCTCGGGAGAAACCTTCAGAGGAAGAATTGGAGAATGTTCAGGTCCTGTGCGCAAATCTCAATGAAGCACAAAAACACCATAATCCTCCATTCATAACAACCACACTGTGAAGCAAAATCCAGACACAAAATTTAAAACAGAAAAGGTTCGTTGACAGATATATATATATCAAGCACATCTATTATGAAATAAAACCTATAAAATTGTACCTTATGGAAAAGGGTAGCAAAATAATCCAAATTTCTTCCTGTAAGAGAAGAGAACTCTGAAGTTTGATTGCCTGAAAATGGATACCAATACAAAAAGGAACAAAACAGATGGTTAGGCATATTAGACGCCATAGAGAGAAAAATGATTGCGCGAATAATCTATAGGAAAGGTATCCTACCTGCCGGGGACTTCAAAAAATTTCCCTTCAGGAGAAAGCTGGTATTGAAATAAAAGCACAGCGTTATGATTGAGAATCTTCAACGGCTATAATAATGGTGTTTTTGCACTTTTGGCTGTAGAAGCTTGGTTGAGATTGAATAAGGAAAGGATCGTGCTGTTTTAGGGAACAGAGAAAAAATCGGAGCTCGAGGGTATATGGAGAAATGGAGAGGAAGAGGCAAGGAGAAAAAGACGAAAAGGACCAGAGGGATTTGGGGAAGTGTTGGACAACCAAGGCATTGGGAATTTAAAACTCAGACACTTGCTTGGGTCAATTTCTGGACTTTTGAAATGACGGAATTGCCAGCTTCATTTCGTACTAATTACGCGGATAGGTTGTTTAGGTAACTGAGCTGGTTGAAGGGTGTTTTGGTAATTGAAAATTTACAGCTGACACACCCGCAGATTCACACAGGTATGTGTGTTAAAGCAGGAGAAACGAAAGGTGGACATTTTTGAAACATGTAAAATGAAAATGAAAATTATGTTGTCAATAGCTAAAAATCGAATCCCTACGAACCTGTCTAAAGATAATGAGAATCTCAAACAAATTCTGCATTTGCATTTTTCCTCTTTTTCTTGTACGACAACAAAAAACCTAGAGGATTAGGTTTGCGAAAAGTAAGATATACCCTTGCACCTACCCTCAAAAGATAATTAGGCTATTTTCGATATTGAGAAAAGAACGAAAAGAAGTAAATGCATCAAATAGTGACAACAACAAGAAAAACACAAAGGTCGACGCCAAGAAGCAAGTAAATACTAAGTAGTAATAATAATTTATGAATCAAAAGATATTATACTAACACTTATGTTATTGAACTAGAAGACATAAGGAGAACGCTTGATTATCTACTTTCCTGATCCTCAACCGACACGCTCTCCTATTAAAAATCATGTCTGCGATAAACTTCAACTGTACTATTTCTGCCTAATTACTTCTCCCTAAGATTTTTTTTGGCCTACATCTCTCCCTCCTATAAATTTGACCTTTATCTTGAAGCAAATTACTTCTATATTTTTACTCTCGAAAAGTTAGAAGCAGCAAATATCGATGCACTGTTTAGAATACTACACAATTTTGTATTTTATTTGGAACAAAATATTTTACCCTTTTGTGATACATATATTAATGGTAACTCACAACTTGAGATTATTTTCAGCACAAATTGTACCTTGTCAATGATTTCGTCATGTTAAAAAATAACTTTATTGTCGTAGTCACTAAAATATTCTCCACTATAATTTCCACGTTTTCATTGTCCTTTTGTTCATCACGTAATTTACAAATTTTAGATTCTTCAATACCGTGCACAATTTTTCAAAGAAAATCTACTCTTAAATTTTGGGGTAATTTTCATATCTTGTGAGTTGTGATGATAATGACTTATTTCTTCTAAATCTCATCAAATCAATGTGATCATTTATTGACTTTGCATTTTACTTTGAAAAATTGGTCACCTCCTGAGCATTTTCCATTCGTTAGCGCATCTATTATTATTATTGGTTGCCCTCTCATTTTTATTTTCCGTCTACCGTACTTGAGTAATTATACACGTCATTTTTTCAATCAAGAGAGTAGTATTTTTTTTTCGTTTGCACATAATTAACAGGGGTGATTGTAGGAATATGGGTCATGTATTCCAATAATTGTAGAAAATAATGGACAAATAGACTTCTTTCAAACATTGATTTTAGAACTCAAATGAAATCCGACAATTATAACAAATGGACTAAATTTTATACCATTTTCATGTCAATGCCAAATAGTATAAAATTTTATATCCCTTCTTAATTTATTTTATATCCCTTCTTAATTTAGCTAATTCCAGGTGTTTTTTTCTGTTTTGGTGTTTCGTAATGTCCCAAGTTGCAGTCTTGCTTATCTAAGAAAACAAATTATAATTCCTTTATGAGTTAGTACAAATTAAATTTGACCGCTTTGTGCTGAATGAATCGATTCATCAAAAAGTTAAACGGTTAAAAAATAAACATCTTAATTTATTCATTCCAAACAAACGTCCTTTAACATGTACACTCACTCTTTCTACTATTAGAATCCGCGCTATCGCGAATAATTTGACCGAATATTAATCTTATAATATTATGATCTAATATATCATATTATTTTAAGAAATATTAGTTGTTATTTTATTATTTATTGTAGTGTACAAAAATATAACAAATCTATATAAAATCAAATGATACATATCATATAGTAATCAAATAAATTTATCAATAATATTTTTGAGAATTATTTATTTACACTTAATTTTATCAAATAAATTTAAAAAGTGGATAGAATCACATTATATCTATATGTCATAAATCTACTAATAATTGTAATAATAATTATTTTATATTATTTTCAAAAATAAAGTAAATTGAATCTGTTTGTATTTAATATAAAAGTTTAATTCTTTTTATTAAAATTACTACATAATAAGTTCAATTATATCTATACTCTATAGTTTGAGCATTCTAATCATAATTTTAAAAACTTTCTAATCTCAAATTCAAATAGTCTTTCCCTTTTATTTCTGAAAGTAATTTTTTAATAATTTTCTTTAATTTTGCTATTTTTTTAATCTAATATATAGTCTTATTACGTTTTATGTGGCTCATTAACTTATAACTTTATTTTATATCATTATAAACTACTATTCTTTAATATTATATAGATAAATATATAATTTTTTAATCATAAAATAACTATTTATTTTGTTATGAAAATATTGCTCGAAAAGTTTGAATTATTTAAATTTGTTGATAATATTTTAAGTATTGTATAGTTACTTTTGTTTCGGAATGGTTTTGAACAAATATTTGACTGTTGGTGCTCGGGTATCATCATTGCGACATTTTTCTTTGCATTTGTGATGTCTGCCTTGGTTCGCAATTGCGACAATTTTGCCTTGGTTCGCAATTGCGAACATTTCTTCGCATTTGCGATGTGTGCCAATTTTACCTTGGTTCGTAATTGCGAACATTTCTTCGCATTTGCGATGTCTGCCAATTTTACCTTGGTTCGTAATTGCGAACATTTCTTCGCATTTGCGATGTCTGCCAATTTTACCTTGGTTCGTAATTGCGAACATTTCTTCGCATTTGCGA